GCTATTATTATGCTTATAATGTTTAGAATGAAATATGTATATTAATTTGTATATTATGTATGAATTTGTTCGTTAGGCGGCATTTAATTTTTAAAACCAGACTTCTAAATTAAAATTGCTTCAAATATTACTATACTATTATTATTATTACTATTGCTATTATTATTGTTATTATCATTACTACTGTCAATTTATTTAACACTTGATTTTTTTTCGATTTTTTCGATTACATCCAGCTCAGTGTCCAATATTAATTGCGTTTTTTGAAAATAACGATGCACTGTTAAAAATATTGATTATTGTGGTTATTGTTCACAGATATATAAACTTTTTCACAAAATCACAAAATTGAATTATATTAAAAATAGTTACAAATGTAACATAATATGAAAAAGTCCTTCAATAAATTTCTTCTCCTTTTCAGATTGGTCCGGGAATAACATCTTTACAAAGTCAAAAAATTCATACATCAGAAAGTTTTCCAAATCTTTCCAAGAACCATATTCATTTAATGCATTTAGATTATGTATTAATTTTTTTATTCGGGATGGAAGGATTGGAATCCCTATCTTTTTTTTCATTTTCAATAATTTCTTGAGTAACAAAATCAAGCTCATTACCATTCAAAAACAATATACGCCGTTTATAGAGTCTATGGGTTAAAAAAAGTTAATATTGAAAATTTGAGTAAAGATGAGGAATAAAGTGCCATTACTCTTCATATTTATAAAATTTTCCCATTCTACTTTCACGAATAACATCTTCAAACTTCTTTATTATCTCCCTAGATGTTGATGAAAATTCATCAATTTGTTGTTCAAACATGTTGCATTCAGACATTTCTATTACATCTCATTTATTTTCTTTTCCAAGTCTTTCTTTCCAATATCTTTGAATATTTTGACATTGTTTCTTTTTTAAAAAAAAATAATGTGAGATAAATGAACACACTCAATAAATGAATAAATTTGAAGAAATTATTTGCATTTAAATCATAATATTCAGTGTTGCATCTGTCTAATCTTTTTGAACACATGAACACTGCCTGAAATTCAAAAAGCACCAGCTCATGAAAAGGACTACTTCTTCTCAGGTCATCCGTGTCCATACAACACTGTTTATGATGGATCTGGGGGTTTGGTATGCCCACCTAGTTTAACTTTCTCACAAGAAGCACCTGAAAGAATCAAGATCTCACAGATGTTTCATCATGAAAATTCGGTATATAACACTTAGTTAAACTCTCTCACAAGAAGCATCTACAAGGTTTGAATTTCTCGTAGACGTCCTCTCATAATAGTTCGGTATATGATACACTAAAACCCAACGTGTCAACACATAATAATAAGTCCAGATCAGTTTTCCTGATCTATATATACCCATCATTTGGGTATATTTATCCGGTCCAAGTATAATCATATCGTAGGATTAAAAAATTCAATTAATTTGAAACAAACTTAACTTTAATTTGAACATCTGAATTTTTTTGCAGCAGCAGTGTCTCAAATAAGTTTAGATAAATTTGCGTTACTTGATAATCGTCTCAAATAGTCGCGGTACATTCCATTATCAGAACTTTCTCCTTTCAAAAGGGAATTATTATCAAGGCAGTGTTGGCAAATTGACTGATCCATTGAGAGCTGATGGACTTTGGACTGGTCCATTGCCATTAATAAATTACTAAATATAGCAAAAATGTTACATTAATGGAACCAATGGATCACCAATGGACCATACATTTGCCAACCCTGTATCAAGGTACTTGAGAAACCCAACCCAAGACCATTTTTTGGGTGTAGTTTCTAAAAAATAACATAAATATTTATCCCCATCTGTATCAAGGTTTGAGTCTTCCACTTATATTGATGGAAAAAAAAATATCATTTTTTAAATTAAAATAAAAGTTTATTGTACTTATTACTCACTTGTATTGGATTGTATGGTATGATAATTTTTTACCCATCAGAGAATAATAAAAAATAAAATTTTAAAATTTATGTTGTAAATAAAACGGAATTTATTGAAATAACATCCAATCGTGTTTTGGACATGTGACCTATATTCTTTCAGTTTATTAATACTGTAATATGTAAAAGTTGTTAACTCATAGGCATAAAACAAATAAAGCTATTACTACTACTATTTGCAATGTAAAAATCGATTACGAAAAATTAATCGATTAACATCTCTACCTGCATAGCAGATTGAAGTTGAACTGAATTTTGAGCTACACCATAGTTGACGTCTTGTTTTTTGGCCTCTGTAATTCCACCGATTACAGATTTCATTAGCATGACCCAATCCAAGGAACCACCTCCATAAGTACCAGCTATTTCATACTCAGGTGATAGTTTTACTTCATTCTCATAGCAACTTGTTACTGCAGAAAGCACTGATGAAATAAATCTATTTTTTGTATGTTCCCTAATCTAACGACTTTACCCAATTTTGAAATAATTCATTTTTTAAAGAATATTCTGTTCTGTTCAGTTCTGTTACGATACGAATCAGCACGAATATTCTAAACGTCTTGTTTCTCAACTTTGGTAAACTGAATTTTTGAGGAAGGATGAAGGGTAAAACTTTGTGATGAGTCGGATTTTTTTTCTTTACTGCGCTGGCTTGAAATGATTTGCAATTTGAACAGAAATATTTTCGTTTTCCAAAAAAAATGATAAATGGTTGTGGTTATTTTACGTCACCGTATCGTGTGAATCCCAATTGCTATCTGCTTGTCATGATTTGTGAAACTGAAAAACTTATCTGTTTTGGTTCAAAACGTCAGGGTTGAGCGAAACAGATATTTGAC